GGGGAGAGAAGGGGCCAAGGAAGAGGAAGAAAAGGAAAATAAAAAGGAAGGTTAAAAGGTAAGGAAAGAAAAGTAGGAGGAAAATAAAAAGGTAAGGTAAGAAAAAGAAAAAAGGAAAGATAAGGAAAAAGTTAGGTAAGGAAAAGGAAGAAAAGGGTAAGGAAAAGAAATAGGAAAGGAAATGAAAAGAAAAAGGAAAGGAAAAGAGAAAAGTGAAGAAAAAGGAAAAGGTAAGAAAATGTAAGGTGAGGAAAAGAAAGGGAAAGGTAATGTAAGAAAAAGGAAAGATAATGAAAAGATAAGGTGAGGAAAAGGAAGGTAAAGGTAACGTATGGGAAAGGAAGGAAAAGGTAACGTATGAAAAAAGAAAAGGTGGGAAAAAGGAAGCGTAAGGTTAAATTAAAGGAAAAAGGGAAGAAAAAGCAAAGGTAAGGTGGGGAAAAGGATGGAAAAAGGTAAGATAAAAAAAGGAAAAAGAAAGAAAAGGAAATGAAAGGTGAGGAAAAGAAAATGTAAGGAAAAAAAGAGGGAAAGAAAGGAAAAGAAAGGAAAGAAAGAGGAATGGAAATGAAAAGGATAGACAGAGGAAAAGGAAATGTAAAGGAAAGAAATAAGTAAATGAAAGGAAATGAAAAAGAAAAGAAAGAGGAAAAGAAAAGAAAGAAGAAAAGAAAAGGAAAATGAACGAAAAAGGAAAAGAAAGAAAAAGGAAAGACAGTAAAGGAAATAAAAAAGAAAAGAAAGGAGGAAAAGGAAATGAAAAGGAAAGAAAGGAGGGGAAAAAAGGAACATTAAAGAAATAAGAAAAAAAGGAAAGGAAAAGGAAATGAAATGAAATGAATGGGATGGTAAGGAAAAGACGAGACAGGACAGGGTAAGCTAAGAAAATGAAATAAAAGGAAAGGGAATGCAAAGGAAAGAGAAGTCATATGAAAAATTGAAAAGAAAAGGAAGAGAAAGGAAAGAAAAAAGTAAGGCAAGGAAAAGAAAGGTAAGGAAATCATATTTAAGGAAAGAAGGGAAAGAATGGAGTGGTAAGGAGGGGAGGACACCATGGGAAGATCAGGCTGAAGATGGGGGAAGATAGGGGATAATACATGGATGAGCTGCAACATGTGAACATTGGTCTTTCCACCTTTCATCCCTGTTTTTTGCTCTCTGGCCATGCACATTGCCCATCACCCAGCTCCACACGGGACAATCATCCCTCCTCACTCCTGTTTAACCCTCGGCTTTCTCATATCTTTGGGGTTTTCGGCCTTTGATTCTCTCTCCCTCCTTGTTACACAGCTCCAAGGGATCAAAGAGCTGCTGATAGAAGAGCAATCATCCCAGGCAAGGCTTGAGATTATCTGCAGGCAGAGCAACCTGGAGCAACTCATTAATGGCACCCATAGGAAGAGTCTGCGCCATTCGCCCGGCCGTGTCTGCAGGCGATCAGTCAGAATTTTTTATTCCAGTTACTATTTGTGTGAATCCCACTCTCAGATCAGCCCTCGCACCTGTCATCCAGGAACCCAAGGGTGATCGGGAGCCATCTACCGCCCGCTGCACAGATTCTGAAGAACAAGGATTCTCCGGAGCAAGTCAAAGAGTGAAAAGTACAAAGAAACCTGACAGAGGTTCCTTAAAAGGAATCCATTGTGTGCTTTCAGCGAGCAAATATTTGGAGTTATTATTGTGCTGTTTACATTAAAGTAATGCAACGTAGGCACTTTAACATCCTTGCTGTATCATATTCCCCTGATTGCATTAAAGCGGGCCCTCAGGCGGATATAAAATACACAAAATAATGCAGCTTTGTACTCATCAATACCATTTTTGGTTAAATGTAAGCTGTGTAAGTACCTGAATTTGATCTGGTATCAGCCTCTTGCAGTCTCTGCATAGAGTTCAGAGACAGGGAGTTCGAAGCAGAGCAAGGAACCAATCAGTTGTGGAGAAGAACTAATGTGCCATCAAGGGGCATGCTGATACTCCTATTATTACTCATATCATTAT